TTCATAAGGAACTGCAGGAAACGTATATCACCTGTCCTAAATATTTACCCTAGGAGATCAACAGAAGTCATCCCACAGTCATTAACATAAAAAGAGGCTAATGCCTTCTGCATATAGACCCATATCACTTGACGTCCTAAATTGTCAAAATCTTTCAAGGAGATTTAAGAAGTATAATAACTAATCAAATGGATTCACGACAGTTGTACAACCCAGGGCAGCATGAGTTTACAGCAGGCCGCTCCTGCCTCTCGCAACTGTTGGAAAATTACAACATGGTCCAGGGTGCACAGGAAAACAAAATGCACACGCAGTGTACACTGAGTATGCAAAAGCCTTCGACAAGTGCGATCACGGTGTAATAATGCACAAATTGCGTGCTGAGGGAATAACCAGAACGCAGGCAAATGGATTTTTAACTTTATAACATACTACGCTCTTTTTGTGTTTTCCCTAATTGTTTCTCATTATCATTTCCGACATTGAATGACGAACTCAATATAGATAAAGCAGGCACACTTCAGAACGATGTAATGTGTAAAAACATTGAGAAAAATAATGTCACATGATTTATCATTTAGAGAAAATAAGGATATTGGAGCAGAAACCACGAAAATCACATGGTAGGTTATGAGAATCTTAAAAGCAAGACACTTCATACCACGATAGTACTGTTTACATCACGTATACTCACACCATGTGTAATTTGCTTACAGCGCCTTAACAAGCAGGAGAGAGAGAGAGAGAGAGAGAGAGAGAGAGAGAGAGAGAGAGAGGAGAGAGAGAGAGAGAGAGAGATTGGAAAAGATTTTATTTACTTTTTGTACTGAATCCACTACCCATCTGATCTACTTAGGATCGGGTGCCCATTTACCCGCTGCCATGACATACTGGAGTAAGCGATATAGGAGGTGAGGAAGTTAGGGATACAATAAGAGAGCACTTTGCTATTTGTACTCACCTATTTGTGGCTGTAGGGGTCGAGACTCAGCTCCTGGCCCCGCCTCTTCACTGATCGCTACTAGGTCCTCAGTCTCCCTACTCCATGAGCTTTATCATATCTCGTCTTAAAGCTATGTGTGGTTCCTGCCTCCACGACATCACTTACTAGACTATTTCACTTCCTGACGACTCTAAAATTGAAGAAATACTTCCTAACATCCCTTTGAGTCATTTGAGTCTTCAACTGTGCTAGTGTCTGTGGCCCAAGAATCTTCAACCTGGTACCAGAAGATATAAGATAATTCTGGAATAAAGGTCCAAGTTTTCAAGAAGAAAATGGATCACTACCTGTTCTGAGTGCTTGATCAACCAGGTTATGATAGATGTAGGCTTACTAGTCACTTCAGAGATCCTGGTTTATCAGGGATGTATGGCGACAGGCTGGGCTTCCAGAGGCAGAACAACAGCAGTTGCAGAAGCAGCAGCAGTGATAGTAAGAGTAGCCGCAGCAGCGTCAACATAGGAAGCCGAGAGTTGTTACAAAAGAAGAACCAGCAGTGATATTAGCACCAAAAGCAGCAGCAGCAGGAATAGTTAGTCTCAGCAGAAGCAGTAACAGAGATAATAAATCACCAAACGCAGCACTAATAATAGTCGCATCACCAGCGATAGTAAAAGTAGTCGCAGCAGTAGTAATAGTACTTACAGCAGCAGCATCGTATGAATAGTCGCAGCAGCGTCACGCCGTAATTATATTCCCCATAAAAGACGTGAACAACTATAAAAGGCTACTTATCATACGCACAAGTGCGTAAGAAAGCTCCTTGCGTAGCGCGTTCCACGAATACGCAGTTTTTTCCATCTCATCATTGCGCTTGACTCCTTAATATAAAAATACACCTTTCGAAAACAGAGATAGAGAGAGAGAATGAGAAATGAGAAATCTTAAGTAATATTTCCAGAGGAACGTTATATTTGGTGTGGGGGGGGCGTGCATAATTACTGGAGGCGCGAGTATTTTGACAGAGACTTCAATGGCGACCACTTGTGCCCTTGAGGCGGTGAGAGGAAGGACTCGAGAAGGTGGAGGAGGAGTGGAGAAGGAAAAATGGCGAGGGAGGGGTTAAGAGGCAGGAGGAAGAGAAAGGTGGATTGAGAGGGAGGGGGATGAAATGGAAAAGAGGTAAAGGGAAGAAATGAAGGGAGAGAAAAAGTATCAGGAGGGGAATAAATAGAAGGGAAGAATAAGAGGCAGGGGTAGAAGAGAGAAGGGAAGGAGAATAGGTATGGGAAGAACGTGGAGAAATGAAAAACGAAGATGATACACTTGAATAACAAAAAAGGAAAAACAGAATAGGGAGTAGCAGTAGCATAGAAAAAAAAATCAAATTAATATTGAAGCTATGTAAAGTATTAATATTTTACGGTAGTTTCAAAAGAAAAATCTCGCAAATTAAATATTGATCTAGAGGAAGGTGGCAAGGCGGTGTAGTGGAGAACGAGATGATGATGGTAGTGGTTATGGTTGTAGTAGTAATGGTGGAGGAAGTGGTAGTGTTGAAGGAGCAGGTAGTGGTAGTTGCAAACTACCATCTGATTTGTCTGAAGAGTTGCATCTGCAAGTTGTTGGAGTGGAGGAGGTTGAATGTTCGTTTGGTCTGGTGCTTGGAGACGAGAGGCTGCATCTCTAGGTGGATGATTAGTCTCCCCCGTCCCTCCCTCCTTCGTTCAGCTAGCTTGTGACATCTAGGAGGGCGTCGCCAGATGCTCTCATGCTTTGGCTTGCATGTTCTACCTGGAGTATGTTAATGACGCAACATAGAGGATTGAGCACATGCATCTCACGCATATCTACCTGTTTGCAGGTGCTCCTGCTGCCTTCTTGGTATCTTATACACAAATAACCAGCACATAGGAGCTTACGACGACGTTTCGGTCCGACTTGGACCATTTACAACGTCGTACTGGTTATTTGTGTATTGTTCCAGTGCCTTTTTGGTCTTCATCTTGGTACTTTGTTTGCTGTTGTCCGTGGAACACAATTTAACTGTTAGCTCATGGATTAGGTGTTTTCACTTTCGTTGTTTTTATAATTACCCTGGTTCCTCTAGGGATCTCGGAGCTTTTAAGCGAGTCTGACAGTTTCCTTTGTAAGGTAACAGAATACGAAATTTTACTGTACCAGCAAGTACAGGAGGAAATGTTACCCAAGTCCGAGAATCAAGGTTATTTGTGATAAATTTGCTGAAGTAACAAAGACATACCAGAGATTACAAGTTAAATGACTCGTGTTACAACTAGTAATTTAAAGTAGTGTGTCAAAAAACATCCTTACCAAGCACAAAGACAACAGAAGGATACCGGAAATTACAGAGTTATTGTTAAGGTCTGGGGTAGACTCCTACACTCTCAGCAAAACCCTGGATGTAAATGAGAGACTTGATGATTTATGTGAAGAGGACGAAGCACTAGATCATTTAAAACCCTGGGACAACATCACCAGTGACTCAGGGTTGTTTAAACAAACTGGCCTCCATTTTAGCGGCGGGATAGCACAAGATTGGAACGAATCTCGCAAGAAGAGGTAAATGAGGCGATGGAGAGGGCGAGAGTGAAGGGGATGATGAACAGTGGAGAGGGAGGAGGGAGCAAACAGTTATATCTGGTCTGATAACCTACGAGACCTGGAATTTAAACTAAACCTGTCAACTGGCAGACCATCCACCTGGATGAAATCTAATTTATTTTTTCGTTTTACAGAAAATGCTCGTAGTATATTCCTCATAAAGAGATGAATTATCCGCATACACATCACCAGAACGTCTATATATTATTGCTTTAAGTGAATCTTGGTTTAATTAAAAGTGCCACCTGACAACAGAAAAAGCTTTGTCTGAAAACAAGAAAAAAAAAAAGGTAGTGGAGCAACTTCGTATGTTTACGATGAGGTTAATGTAGTTCAAGGTCAAAAGCATGAAGCATATGATTGTATTTCTCGATATTCATGGCAATAAGAAATAAATTATATTTATTGCACATTGACTTCTCAAGCAAAAGTCAAGAAAATGCCCTTTAGTATGACGGAATTAAAATAGTAATAACAAGGAGGCAATAATAGTTTGTGACTGATGTCCTTAAGCTGCTAGACGTCCTATCATCAGTGAGGACAACTTTTTAACCCAAGTTGTTAAAGTGTCTATTCGTGACCTTATACTGGGATCTCGTTCCAACCAGATTCAAACGTTATCCAAACATTGAGATGGGAGAGAAATTACGATAAATTGACCACAACATCTGGTTCAAATCTAACTCAAACTCTGAGATCCAAAATAATTTTGTAATACCTTACTTCACATCTTATAAGGGAGGGGTGTACAGTAGTTGGGATACCCTACGAGGTTGGGTATCCCAACTACAGAGTAACACACTTGGAGATATCAGTAATATTATACCTTTAATGGGTTTCAAGAATTTTCCTACTCTCGCAGCCAGACCCTGGGCCAGGCTTGTTCGGTGCTTACCTGATCGACCAGGCTGTTCTGCTAGCGGGCCGCTGGCCCATGTAGCCATCACCGCCTGGTTGATCTGGCACTTAACTGAGGTACTTGTCTTGTTTTCTCTTGAAGATTTCTGATATCTTTTGGTAAGATATTAACAAGTCTGGGATCACATACATTAATACAGTGTTCACCGTCCCCAAGACGCCCATGCTTTTCACTGGGTTTAATTTACACTTTCTTCCAGTATGTTGTTGCTGCACTGTGCAGATTCGGGTTCGAACTACTAAATACAAACATCATACAGGAAATGTGGAGTAGAATTAAAATAAATTCAAGCGCTAAACCTGAAAGTGTCGTACATCGGTGCAGGGAAGACTGCAGAAGTAGGAGTGAGGGCAGGACTGTCTTTGATAAGTGTCATCATGGTATAAGAGCACATAAAATTCTTGAAAAAGGATAGATGGATATTTAATTTTCTAAATAATAAAACCCAATTGTTCTCCTATAGGGAATACCACAATCAGTAGTTAACAGATGTTCCGTCTCTTTCTTCTACAGGAAATACAACTGTCGCAAGTGCATGGTGATCAACATGAAGCATAACAACATCATTCAGTACAAGGAATGTGAGTACCACTTTGTCCTCTTATTCTTTGGAATCCGCATGTAAATAACCCTTTTAATGTATAGATATGTTAATGTAACACTTCTCTAGTGTATAGATATGCTAATCTGGAAGATTTTTATTGTAGTCTTAATGGTTCAGTGGTTAAGTGCGTTTGTTTAATAATTTTTGGCCTTCCTTGCTGTTAGTTTAAGCCTTGCACATGCTGTGTGTGTGTGTGTGTGTGTGTGTGTGTGTGTGTGTGTGTGTGTGTGTGTGTGTGTGTGTGTGTGTGTGTGTCTGTTGTGGGTGTATAGTGTTGTGACATCGGGGGTTGAAGGGAAGAAAGGCAGGTGTTTCTTTCCCTCAGTATAAGAGTAACGAATAATGAGTACCTCACACACTCATTACACACTCCAGCAGAACTTGACTCGCTTCTACTTAAATTTTACCTCATTAACAATAACAAATTAAAGATAGGGAAAGTTAATATATTTTTACACTCCATTACAATTTATTAATACTTATTCAATAATATACTTGGTTAAAGATAAAGGGATCTGATACTTAAATAACTGTGGTAATAGAAGAATATTGAGACGGGGGGAAGGGGTTAATACAGTTGGCTGACGAACTGGAATATTGACTTAAAATATAAAATGGTTTTTCGTCGAAGATTCCTAGAAGACCAGTGAGCTTCTAGCCACGGGTCCCAAGACCTCGCTCTGGGGTCTCAGCTCGGTCCCCAACTGAGTCCAGTTAGCAAATCCTCACACAGAGCTCCAGCTCTGTGCCAAGCCAAGGTTCCTCACCAAATCCTCTCCCAGAGCCCTCCAGCTCTGCACCCGGCAAGATGAGACATCTTGCCGGGTGCAGAGCTGGAGGGCTCTGGGAGAGGATTTGGTGAGGAACCTTGGCTGGGCACAGAGCTGGAGCTCTGTGTGAGGATTTGCTAACTGGACTCAGTTGGGGACCGAGCTGAGACCCCAGAGCGAGGTCTTGGGACCCGTGGCTAGGTAAGGTTTGTCAGGAAATAGGACAAGTGTTTCCTGACGGGGTGTGGATATGTATACCTGGAGTATACCTGGAAGGAGTTTCGAGAGTCAAAGCCCCCACGTGCCGGTCCGTGACCAGGCCTTGTGTAGTATAGGTGGGTGTCGCAAGGGGGAGTGAGGGAAAGGGAGGCTTACAGAAAGAATTTTGAGATTTCTTCTTCAGACTGATTATGTCAGGAGGAAAAGAAGATACTGAGCTCAACTTAAATGAATCATGTAGAGTCTGGGAAAAATAGGAGCTGTAATTAAATAATGAATTTAAAAGTAATCTAAAATAATTCTCATTTGTAAAAATCGTATACAAAATCTAATATCGGGCCATTGCTCAAACTAGATGGAATTTACGCTGACGACAGCGAAGAAATTAGTGAAATACCGACGTCTCGGTATTACTGTGCTTATTAAGCCGTTAATGTGACTAGAGGTTAACAATCTGAATGAATTTTTTCCAAAATTTACATTATGACTAACCCCATTCGACTTAGAAAAAAAAAATCATTGGCAGCATGCCCTTGTACACTGCCCTAGGCCTGCCAGACTCGTGGAACTCCATATTCATCAAGAACCACAATAAACCACTATCATAGGCCTTAAATATTTTATGGCGAGGGAGCCTTGGCACAGCCGGTACAAACAAGGGATATACCTGCACTCGACAAAGACAACAGCAAAGCAATAACAAAGAACTATAAACTGATTGCGCTGATGTTCCACATCATTAAAATCTTGGAAAAGAGTTTTGAAAAAAAATTGCTAGCCACACGATTAAAAAAAATGCACAAACCATTGCAGCAACAACTTTCATGCACTGGAAGATAAAATGGAGATGTAGTGTTCTCGTTATTTCTTCATATGGACTTTTTAACTTGATAACACACATACATACACACACACGCACACACACAGTGCAAAAAAAGTAATAGTAAGCAGAGCTGAGTCAGAGGCTGCCACAGTGAAAAAACTGTTCCTCGAGGCACAGTACTCTCCCCCCATTCTTTTCCTCATATTTATATCCGACATATACATGTATATAAATCATAGCACCATATCATCCTTTGCAAACAATACTAAAATTTGCATGAGAGTGGCATCCATTGAGGACACAGCAAATCTCTAAGTGGATATAAACTAAGTCTTGCAGTGCACCACAGAAAATTTAAGGCTGACTGTGGACGAATTTCAGTTAGTTCCTTACAGGAAAAAATGAAGAAATTAAAACTAGAATAGAGCAAAAGGCTAACGTGAGGAACTTGTAAGTGATATCCTCTGGTTTCACTTAAAATGATTAAGACAGTATCATTTTCATAACTGCGAGGAAAATGACAAGTCGGATAACGAGCACTTTCAAAATAAGACATTTTAAAACAGTGGGGGTCATTTTTAAGTCACTTTTTCTCTCTAAGCATACTTTAAGAAAGGGTGAGATAATCATGAATGAGAGTGGTTAGGAGTGAGAAGGACCTTCCCAGTTGCACAGTTAAAACAGGTGAATATTGAGTAAAACAGGACACAAACAATGTCAACAGCGTACAGTATATTGTTTTCAAACTGCTGACCACGGATTTGCCAATTAAACATTAGTCATTAATAAAAACGTACACTTTTTTTTACTGTGATAGAATTAAATACAAAGCCAAACATAGTAAAATAAAACATATTTCCGAACAAAATTCTTTTGTGGGAAATCTGGATTAAGTGAAGCTCACGTATTATATCATTCACCCAGAGTTATGACACGAGGGTGCCTGGAGTGATCAGTCACTAACAGTGTATTACATATTCACCCAGAGTTATGACACTAGGGTGCCTAGGGTGATCAGTCACTAACAGTGTATTATATCATTCACCCAGAGTTATGACACGAGGGTGCCTGGGGTGATCAGTCACTAACAGTGTATTACATATTCACCCAGAGTTATGACACGAGGGTGCCTGGGGTGATCAGTCACTAACAGTGTATTATATTATTCACCCAGAGCTATGACACGAGGGTGCCTGGAATGATCAGAAGTCACTTAATGTCTCACGTCCTTTCACTTGCAAGGTCATTATTTCCTAATATATTAGATGTCAAGACTCCACGCTGTCAAATTTCTTGCATTACAAACAGTAGCATATATGGCAAAAGTAGCCTGATTAGAAAAAAAAGTTCAGAAGATTTTTCTATGCGCATCTGTGATCTTACAGAAACCTAGTATTTAATTGTATGCGATAGACAGTGAATAAAAATAAATAACATCGATCACCTAACGACTGTAGATATATGGAGAGGATATGTTGCACCGTCTGCCGAGTCTTTTGCTTTTGTAGGGTGTGATTTGTGTGCAGATTTGGTACCAGTCTCTCTTAAGATTTTCCAGGTGTAAATTATGATGCATCTTTCTCGCCTGCATTCCAAGGAATACAAGTCAAGTGATTTCAGACGTTCCAAGTAATTAAGGTGCATCACTGAATTAATGTGTGCAGTGTAGGCTCGCAGTGCGTTCTTCAGTTATGCAGCTTCACCTGCTTTGAAAAGGGCTGATAGTGTACAGCAGTGCTGCAGCCTTGAGAGAAGAAGTAACAGAGAGGATCATCATTGGCTTGTCATCATTTGTTTTGAAAGTTCTCGTTATCCATCCTATCATTTTTCCTCTCAGTTGCGATAAAGACAATATTGTGATCTTTAAACGTGAGATCCTCTGACATTTATCACGTTATATATATATATATATATATATATATATATAATATTATATATATATATATATATATATATATATATAACAAGTCGGCCGTCTCCCACCGAGGCAGGGTGACCCAAAAAGAAAGAAAATCCCCAAAAAGAAAATACTTTCATCATCATTCAACTCTTTCACCTCACTCACACATAATCACTGTTTTTGTAGAGGTGCTCAGAAACACAACAGCTTAGAAGCATATACGTATGAAGATACACAACATATCCCTCCAAACTGCTAATATCCCGAACCCCTCCTTTAGAGTGCAGGCATTGTACTTCCCATTTCCAGGACTCAAGTCCGGCTATATAAAAATAACCGGTTTCCCTGAATCCCTTCACTAAATATTACCCTGCTCACACTCTAACAGATCGTCAGGTCCCAAATACCATTCGTCTCCATTCACTCCTATCGAACACGCTCACGTACGCCTGCTGGAAGTCCAAGCCCCTTGCCCACAAAACCTCCCTTACCCCTTCCCTCCAACCTTTTCGAGGACGACCCCTACCCCGCCTTCCTTTCCCTTCAAATTTAAATGCTCTCCATGTCATTCTACTTTGATCCACTCTCTCTAAATGACCAAACCACCTCAACAATCCCTCTTCAGCCCTCTGACTAATACTTTTATTAACTCCACACCTCCTAATTTCCACACTCTGAATTTTCTGCCTAATATTTACACCACACATTGCCCTTAGACAGGACATCTCCATTGCCTCCAACCGCCTCCTCGCTGCTGCATTCACAACCCAAGCTTCACACCCATATAAGAGTGTTGGTACTACTATACTTTCATACATTCCCTTCTTTGACTCCGTTCATAACGGTTTTTTGTCTCCACATATACCTCAACGCACCACTCACCTTTTTCCCTCATCAATTCTATAATTAGCCTCATCCTTCATAAATCCATCCGCAGACACGTCAAATCCCAAGTATCTGAAAACATTCACTTCTTCCATACTCCTCCTCCCCAATTTGATATCCAATTTTTCTTTATCTAAATCATTTGATACCCTCATCACCTTACTCTTTTCTATGTTCACTTTCAACTTTCTACCTTTACACACACTCCCAAACTCGTCCACTAAACTTTGCAATTTTTCTTTAGAATCTCCCATAAGCACAGTACCATATAGGTAGTAGGTTGGTAGACAGCAACCACCCAGGGAGGTGCTACCGTCCTGCCAAGTGAGTGTAAAACGAAAGCCTGTAATTGTTTTACATGATGGTAGGAATGCTGGTGT